CGCTGGCGCGCGCTGCACGCCACGCTGCTCGCGCTCCAGTCCTCGCTCGTCTCCGCGCCCGCTCCGGCCGCCGGCCACCCGCTCTTCGCCGATCTGGTGGCCTCGCTGCTCCCGCCCCTCCGCTCCCTCCACGCATTGTCCGCGCGCTGCCAGGACCCGGCCCTCCCCGGCGGGCGCCTGCGCCTCCAGAGCGACCTCGACATCGCCGCTTCCTCGCTCACGCTTCTCCTGCACGACCTCTCGCTGCTCCTTCGCTCGGGGCTCCTCTCCGTCGATTCGTCGGCGTCCTCCCCCAACGCCATTGTGCTGCAGGTGCCCGCGGCGGCCGCATCCCGCTCCGACAAGTCGCTCTTCATCAGGGACGCCTTTGCGCGGCTCCAGATCGGGGGCCTCGACCTCAAGCTCAAGGCCCTCGCCTCGCTGCTGGAGTTGCTGGGGAATGACCCAGCTGCTGAGGCCGCAAACATCGTAGCCGCCGATGGCGATGTGGCTGCGCTGCTCCGCATGCTCGACGCATCGGCCCACTCGGCGCTGAGGGACCGCGCAGCAGCGGTCGTGGCCCTCCTTGCCACTGCCTGCAGTGCATCCCGGAAAGCGGTGTTCGACGAGGGCGGCCTTGGCCCGCTGTTGCGCGTGCTTGACTCCGCCTCGGCACCGGCCACAAGGGAGCGTGCCGTTGTGGCCATTGAGGCCATGACCGCCGATGCCGGCAGCGCGTGGGCTGTATCAGCATATGGAGGGGTTTCCATCTTGATTAATGCGTGCCGTCCTGGCTCTGGTTCATTGGCTGTGCAGGCGCTCGCTGTAGCAGCTATCAAGAATGTGGTCTCCATCGACGATGTGCGCTCAGCGTTGGTTGAGGAGGGTGGGTTGCCAGTTCTGGTTGATTTACTTGCATGTGGCACCACTGACACACAGAAGAATGCTGTTATCTGCCTGTGGTCGATCGCGTCCATGGGAGACCTTGAGACACAGCAACAGATTGTACAAGATGGTGCATTACCGCCACTATTGCAGGCTCTGCACATCACCACCGATCTCGATCTTCAGAATTCTGTCCTACGAGCTATCCACGTGCTCGCAGTAGTCCCTTCGGCCGCCAGGATCCTATGTTCATCCCCGCTGTTCTTTGCACAACTAACAGACCTTATGCGCCGTGGTGGTAGCATCCTGTTGCAGCAGATGGCTGCAGATATGATTGCCGACCTTGCACCTGGCGTGAGTGATGACACCAAGCGGTGCATGGCACCATGTGTTGGCACGCTGGTTAAGATGATGGAGGTAGCCAAGCCTGCATCCGTACAGGAGTCAGCTGGCCGTGCACTACTTGCTTTGATGACCTTGAAATCCAATCGAAAGGAGTTGGTCAGGGATGAGAAGAATCTGACAAGGTTGGTGCAGATGCTTAACCCCCGGAATGAGGAGATTGACAAAAAGCACCCAGTCTCAGTACTGCTAGCACTTGCTATGGGTGGTGGGAATGGAACACGACGGCGTCTTGCAGATGCTGGTGCTTGTCAGCATCTACAGAAGCTGGCTGATGCTGAGGTGCCTTGTGCAAAGAAGGCTTTGCAAAGGATATCCAGCAGCCGATTCAAAAGCTTACTTTCCAGAGGGTGGAACAACTAGTCCATCTGCTGCATTGGGGTAAGGTTGATATTTACCTTCATCTCCCTTCTTCGTGATGCTTCTAATTTGTTTTCTTTGTCTATCACTGAGCAAATATCAGTTAAAATGAACATTAGATCAATAGTTTTAGCTAAGCTGTTCACTGACTACATGCTGCAAACGTGAGTCGAAGCTTCAGGAAAGTTCCCTGTTTTATAGTCTGGTACGTGGAGCCAATACCCTGGGATTCTCAGAGGTTGGTGGGATGGTCTAGTTGTGCACAGGAGCATTGGGCTACAATGCTCATACTGTGTAGGCTAACAACTGTTTGGTGATATTATAATTGCTTAGGTTTGGAAACTAAATGCTCACATGGTTTGTACTGCTGTTGCCCTGTCATTGCTGGATGTGGGCGGTGAGCCGGTGACATGGCCATTCCATGAGGAGCAATGTTTTTAAGGCGGTAAGGCAACCTGAATCGAGCACCACCCGCCCTAGCAGGGCGCCTTATCGCCTAAGCGTCCAAGGCAGGACGCCTTAAAAACAATGATGAGGAGTTTGGCCAGAGTGTTGGTTCATACTCATTGTAGGACAGGGCACATTCACTGATTCACTGTAGCTGATAAGCAGCATCTCAGGTAGAGATAGTGGAAATTAACAAGGATGCATATACTCTATGTGCCTTTGGACAGTGGAAACATCAAATAGGTAAAGAGAAGTGCATTGAGGGAGGGAAGGAGATTAGTGAGACGGAAGAGGAAAGTAAAAAAAAAATGCAAAATAGGTCAAAGTATAGGGCAGTCGTTTTAACTGAAATTTTAATATGTGCACCCATGATAGTTATAGATGCGGAAAAGTTTTGTGTTGCAATGTCAACTTCTAGCTTAAGTCAAAATTGAACTAAAAGCATGTCGATTGTGGAGCCTCAGAAATTGCAGTCATGCATCTAGGTGGGCCTTTCACAGCCTTCACAAACTAACATCATGATTACTCTAGTCTAACATATTGTGAACTGTAGTTTTTCTTGAAATAATTGTCAAAGATAAATTTTCACTGAGGACTAGATGTTCTGAAGCATGGATAGTTGAGGCATGCCCTTCATTGGGAAGAGAATACAGCCAATATCATGAAAAATACTCCTTTTCCCCTTGTATCTCGCTCTTTCCCAGTCTATCAACTGAAAGCATGATGGACTGAATGTTAGTTATGCTTACATGTTTTCTCTCCGGGTCTTCTTGACCACCACCCAATAATAACTTATCAACTTACCCACTAAAGCCTTTTTCCAATACAGTATGCAACTTAATATACTGTGATGTGCATATTTTTGTTGTCGACAATTTTCAGGTCGTTTTGACTGCTGTCTTACTCCATTTGATTCTCATATACTAAAAAGGCTCATCAATAGTGTAATCATCTGCATGTTATGTGAGGTGAAACATACATTTGAGCATGCAAAACATTGGCTTAAATATAAGGGGCCATAAGGCACATAAAGCCTTAACAGTAACAGTTTGTTAAATGTTAATGCAGACTGTAACTTGGAACTCCGTTGGCAAATCACAATGTTTTGTAGTACGACTGTTCTGTCAATCTGTTTCCAGTTGGATGCATCTGTTCAGTTACTCCTGTACTGAACTGAGAGTTTGCGTCTTTGTTAGTAACTTTACAGCCTATAATTTTGTCAGAAGTAATTGAATTATTAGCTCAGTTCATCCAGGCAATTATTATATTCCTGCATTTTATATGCTGTGACACTTTATTACCTGTAGTGTATCACATTTCAGCTTGAATGTTGTGGCTAGCATACAATGAAAATGCCTTCGTTTTATATCTTATGCTTTCCTTTAATTTAGTTCTATGAACCAGTACTTACGACTCATTTTATGCTTCCGAACTTGTAGTTGAAGAGAACCCAAATGTGGAGAGCTTCGAATTATAGAAGAAAGCTTAAGTATTTAATTAGGAGGCATCGTACAAGAACACCGAGCAAGAAAGGGACCAGAGGAGTTCTCAGTTTCTTTGAAGCCAAAAGGTGCACGGTAGCTGCTATTTATTTATCTAGTATATTGACAAGATAGAAGCATGGATGCGGCATTTTAGGATGTATCCTTCAGCTTTTATGTTTGCCCCTTTTTTGTCTGTTCCTATTTTAACCTCTCTCTCTCTCTCTCTCTCTCTCTCTCTCTCTCTCCTGATTTGTGAAGTAACTGTATGTGTGTTGATTTGGAATGAAGCAAGTGTTTTTATCTGCCCCAAGACACATCTGCCAGATATTACCTTGCCCAGTGTCTCACTGAATAACTAAGCTGCTGTTTCTGTGGGGTTTTGGTGCTGTTGGGGAGTATATTCTTGGTACTGATGTTGATTTTTGTTTTTGTTTTGATTGCCTGATGTTGCTTGTGATGTTAGTATTGAGTGTTGTCTGGTGTCTGTTACTTGCCTGATTTCTGTGAGAGTCTCGTGATCAATTACCAGCCTCTCTCATGACTGCATTTTGCTCTCAAATCTCGATGCCCTCTCCATTGAGTGGGCAAATCTCACTTACCACCTTTTGGATGTGTTGATTAAAGAAATATGTTTGGATGCTTCACATCATCACATGGATCTCCACTCTTAAGACTTGAAGGAAACTTTGCATGATGCCGTTTTCACAGGAATCACGTGAGCTCGTCCCTTAGTTCCATTGCTAGGAATTGGATTCATCAAAAGCTCTTCATTTTTAAAACAAGGAGCATACCCTTTAGTCTCGCATTGCTATCTCTATGTAAGCAGGAGCTATCCCAGCCTACATGATTTGGACATGCATTTTCGCAAGAAGTTGCTGGCATCAGTTGCATCTTTTGAGCAGTATTATCTACAAAAGCTTTGCCACAACAGCAGAAGTGCCAAAAACTGGACAGATCCAATTGACAATACCAAATATAACACAAGGTTTGCTTGCCAGACTGAGTTTTATTTAGTATACAACATAACAATAATTACAGACTATTATTACATGCTTACATAATGCCAGCAAACATATGATAAATGCAGCAACGGTGAGAATATAACTCATGCGGCCTATCTAATATCTACCCTAGCTTCAAAAATGATTTACAATGTTTAACTTGTCAGGGTCAACTTCATGATTTGTGAGCCAAAAACAGAATCAAAAGTAGTATTAACAGTTATTTCTTATCGGCCATGTTACTAGATACGCGAAAGAAATGCCAATCTGGGCCCCCAGAGGCTGCCATGTACTGTATGCTTCTTGCTCAACATGAGAAAGACGCAGGTAAATGCTTTAAGCTTGAGACGTCGAATAGCTCAATAAACCTTAGATCAGAAACTCTTGCTTTCGCAGCAGCAAAACGCTGGTATTCGTCGAATACTGATGTTAGACACCAGCGCTACAGTTTCCTCAAGCATCCAACAACGCAGCCAGTTCGATGCTGCACATATTTTATGTTTGCAATACAAAATTCAGATGCTATAGAAATTTCGACAGGCCAAACAAACAGCAATGCTATTTTTACCTTTCCACGCTTGCAGTGAATAAGCACCGGGTGGTTTCTTGTGTCTACAAATGAGAATTTGATATGCAGTCAGAGGAAGAAATGACTCATAAAAAAGGATTCTGTAGAACATTCCAGTACCTAGAATAACTTTCAGAGCCTCGCGGATTCTGTCTTCGGGAATGCTCACAAAGGGTTCCTGAAAGCAACATCCATTTTCAGTAAGCTTCTGAAAATGAAAAATGCCACTTTGTGCCAAATCTTTGGTAACAAGAGAAAAAATGAAGATAAATGATAGAACTACGACAAAAGGAAGAAAATGACCAACTTCAAGCTGCTTTCTTATACAGTACATGCCATCTAGCAAGTTACTCCCTCCGTAAAGAAATATAAGAGCATTTAGATCACTACTTTAGTGATCTAAACACTCTCATATTTCTTTACAAGGGAGTACCTTTTAGAAGCTAGATTCTGGTTCTCTTCTCTGGTCTAAGTTATCAGTTAGTAAAGAGTGTGTATGCCATTTCATTCTTATAAGGTGAATTGTTAAATACCAGTCTGATCTGAACTTTCTCTAGTGATCAATCGCGCAATATTTTCAAGGTGCATCGCCAAAGTGCAAAATAAACAACCCAATCCAGATAAAAGAATCCGATTCCGTTTTTCTGTGCCACATGTTCACCTTTCATGTGCCTTAACCCACTTCATGGGATTGCAACGCTAATACTTCTAACTGATAAAGAGTGTGGCCTCGTTGGCTCGATAAAAAGACACACCTCAAGTTATTCCCTTAAATTTGAAAGCTCCACTGAATAAAGGAAGAAAAAAAAGCTCCACTGAATAAAAAGACACTCATATACAAGCATATGGTTCATATCTCATATTTATAGTTTCTCGATATGAACCATATGCTTGTATACAAGTGTTTATTGATTTTCTACTGGTGGTGACAAAATAAAATCATTAAACATATCGAGAAACTATAAATGACAATAATATTTCTGCTCCGGTGGAAAGGAAGGTCTTTTACCAGTTTACTCATTCAGTTGGAGCAAAAACCTACCTTGCTGTACCTTCAAGATGTTTTGACGACATACACAAGTCGTTTGGTTAATTAGGAAAATAAAAATACTCCATGCAAAAAGACAAGGAAGATAAAAATACTTGCCTTTTGAGAAGTACCATGCCTGAATTCTAAGCATAAATTGTGTATCATTACAAAAAATGCAACCCAAAGAAGTATAACACAAAATGCCTAAGGACTACAACAACTGAGTAACATAACAGCGAAGGTTTCAGATGGTTGTCATCAGCTCGTAATAAAAGAGCAATATCTAGTTAGAAACAAGATCATAGCATTTTAGGGTCATAGACTCTCTTTTTTTTTTTGCCGTTCAAACGATCATCTGTGTGTTAGGGTCCAACACCATGAGGTGGATTTCAAGTGTTATTTGTGTGTCCTCTTGCCGAATTGACCACTCAAATCTGAATTCCAACAAGTTTCTCAAATTCAACACTTCTATATTCTTCTAGCATTTGTAGTGTTTTATACATGGCCAACTAATAATGTTATTGCTCCAAGGTCCTGTTCAAGAATTTACCTATTAACCAGTTAAATGGCCGATTAATCCCTACTTGTAAGGTCACCGTGTAGTCGATAAACTGATAAATCAGCCGATTAATAGACCGATTAACTTGCCGATTAGCCTATTAATCCCCTGCTCGCCAGCCTATCAAGCAACTACCGGTTAACGATTTCCTCAACAGTGCTCCAAGGTATTCAATTTTTTTTATATCAGCTAAAATTTAGGAATATACAATAGAGGGGTAAAAAGAACAGTACTTGGCACATAGTGTGCTACTACAATAACATATCATATAAATTTAGCCCCCTAAATCCGACCTTCGTTAAGCCAACAAGTACTCGACAGTGGACATTTAAACCAGATATCCAGCTATTCCATCAGGTCAGAAATACAAGTCATCTGTCTAATTACAAAAAATATTGAAGCTTCATCCGATATATAATTTGGTAGAGAGGCGCTTTCAGCTAAAGCATCTATGGAGAAGCTCAACTTGGACAAGGCAACTCCACTTCACAATCCCACGGAAGGCATATGATGTGCCGGCAGGCACACAAGTACTATGGAGAAGATTCGAGAAGATAGAACCATTGCAACCATCACTACCGTGTGGACAAATATTAACGAAGAATCTATGACTAATCACAAAATCATAATAACTACTCCCTCTGTTCCATAATTCCCGCCGTGGTTTTAGTTTAAAACCATGACAAGAATTATGAAACGGAGTCAATAGACATGTTTGATCCCATCTTTCCTTACTCACTTACCGTTTTGATTTTATTTCTTGGGACAAGCAAGAAGGCATATGCAAGTGAGAAAAAGAGAAGACCAAGGGGCAAAGCTTGGATGAAGTTTAGCTAGTCAGAGTTGATAGCCCATGTTATCCCCCCTCTTTTCTTACTTGCCTACCATTTCACTTTTATTTCTTCGGATCAAGAATAAGCATGATATAGCAATTCTCAAAGGGCAAACCTTCGAGGAGGTTTAGCCAAGGATGCCCATGCCCATAAGGAGAAGGGATTTGCATTAACCTTGGAGCCGTCGATTCCGAGTTGGAACAGCCTGATCCCGTGGGCACGGAGGAACTCCTGGTTGGCCTCCGGGTACGGCTCCGGGCAGAGGCACCTGGAGAAATCAAAACGAATCAGAACCACGTCACCACCACCTCGAAGAAGAACGTAGGTGTGCACGTGGCCGTGTACTACTACTACTAACAGGACGGAGCGGAGGCGAAGGTTCTCGAGGAACGGCAGGTTGGAGGCGTCCGGGAACCCGGAGCGGTACACGCCGTGGTCCACCATGGCGAAGTTGAGCGGCGGGACCAGCTGCAGCGGCTCCTCGCCTTCCCCCGCCTCGGCCTCGCCGCCCTCCCGCCGCAGCAGGATCGCCGCGCAGGACGGCGGGGCCACGGCGCCCGTGTCCTCCTCCTCCTCCTCCTCCTCCTCGGGAGGCGGCGGGCGGTTGTGGTGGCGCGGCTGGTGTTCGTCGCGGGTGACCACCAGGCTGGCGGCCTCCTGTCTCATACCTCGACGGACGGGGGGATCGACGGTCGTGGCGCGATCGCCTGCCTTGCTCTCCGTGGATGGAGTGGAGGTGGATGGAGAAGAGGATCTCGTCGGGTTTTGGCCTTGGGTGTCGGTTGTGGGCTGGCGATCGAGAAGAAGAGACTTCGGGAAGAAAGGAAAGGAGCGACAGGTTTTGCGTCCGTGTTTTTTTTTTTTTGAGGGAAATACTCGTGATTATATTATGTTAAGGAAAACATTACAAGGAGACATACAGTAGATACGAGTACATCCACGCAGGATACGGAAGAACACCAAATCCAACTCAACCACACAGCCGCTGCTACCCCCATCTCGCCGTCGTCGCCGCCGGAGAGAGAAGAAAAGCGACCAACCCCTTTAGATCCGGAGAAGCACCATCGCTTGTAAGCTTTGTGAGCCGCACAATCGTAGCCCGCCGCGAGAGGCGAGATCTTGAGCAGAGCTGAAAAGCCCAGGCGGCCGGAGCAACGCCCCATGCCGCACCAGATCCGCATCGGCCAGCTTCGCTGAAGCAGGTTCAAAGACCAATCGCCGATGAACAACCTCCAGTCCTTCATCCCTGTCGTAGCCACCTCCCGCATCCACAACAAAAGAAGCGCCAGAAGCATCTTCCCATGGAGCCGAAGAAGCGGACAAGCCCCAACCACCGCTCCACAGGGCCAAAGCCGCGAACGCCATGGGTCAGAATCCTCGACCCCCCTCGCCGTCTCGCCACACCAAAGAGCCCAGCGGTGACCGACGACGACGACGACCAACTCGCAGGATCGTAAACACTCAGATCCGCGAGACCAAAAGGACCCCAGCTCCTCGCCAGTGCCAAGAACGACGCCGGGCGAGCGAAGAAGGAGACAGGGCCACTTTATTCCGCACACCGACGCCTCCTCCGCCATGACGCCGGTGCAAAGGACACCAAACCTAGAAAATCTAGGACTATATACACCGCCAGGCATCAGATCCGGGATCTCCCACCCCTCCGGCAGCCATAATGGCCACCGGAGGTGAAGGAGACCACCGGTCTTGCCGACGGGGACAGAGGAACTCCTGGATCTCGCCCTGCCCTCTTCTGTAGGCAGTTTCGAGAGAGGACGGGAAGAGAGAGCCTTGTAACGTTCGTGTGCTGTGTGTGTTCTAGGGTTTAGGATTCGGGGGCGATGGTTTTGCGTCCGTGTTGGTTATGCATATTCGGTACATATTCCCTCTTCCGGCGGTTGTAAACGATTTGTACGCGGGACCGGGCCCCGCCGGCTGGCCACCTGTTTGCGTGCACTCGTCCCTCGTCGTCGTATCGGAAGTGGTTGGGCAAAAACAAAAATGGTTATGTTATTGAGCGAACGTTCACTCGGGTGCATGGCAAAACGAATGTTTCTCGCGGCAATTTATGTGTTGCGAGTATGGCAATTCCTTCAAGCGAACACGACAATTTTTTAGAAAATTCTTCGTTTTGCCAGAATTTGCCACGTGTTTTTGAATTTTTTTGATACTCCCTCTATTTACTTATACAAGGCCACTATGAAATATACATTTTACATCTATATAAGGTCATCAACAACAATCGAGGTAAAATTAATGATATTTTCTCATGTTAACAATCTATTTAAGCAATAAAATGATAGTTAGCTACTTCCTCCACTCAGACTACCCACAGTGGGAGTGACATAGGTGGTCACATCACATATATCTAGACAAAATAGATGATGTTGCAAGTAATTAATGAAGAAATAGAGTTATACATAGCTAGTAACATCACACATATCAAGACAAGATGAGTCTATAACTTAATAAATCAAGTGTTGCATGACACTGCACATATATTACTCTCCACTGTAGAGGTAGTAACATGGACTAGTAACATATGCATGTCTAAGTTACTCCTCATTGTGCACAGTCTCAGTTTCTTTGCATGCATGGGGCGTATTAATGATCTCAAATAAACAAAAAGAAAAGCTGACTTGCAAAACATACATTAAATTTTACATTGATACCTGTAATTTGAGTTTGTGGCCTTGTATATAAAAATTAAGGGAGTACGTGTTTTCGAATAATTTGCCATAAAAAGCGTTCGCAATTGTGATGCATCCCAACAAACATTCTCTGTCTATTGGGGTCTTCACAAGTCTCCTCGGTCATGAATGAAATTACCTTTAGATACCCATGAAAGCCCCCGAGAGCCCCCCACGACTTACCACCGAGAAATGGACGGTGCGGAGGGCACTCTCACCCGCGAAGCCCCCTAGGAGGCAGGTACTCCAACATCCTTTATAGGAGTAACTATTCAATTTCTATTAAGTAATGAATACATTTGCCCTCTTGCAGCCGCCGGCGCCCAACTCAACTCACTGAAGGCCACCGTGTCGTCCCACGAGCGACTAAGGAGGCAAAACCACCGTCGTCGTTCTAGCCTTCCTCCGCCTCCTCTCCCCCTCACCGCCATTGACCGGGGCCACCAGGGCAAAGCCCCTCGCAGTGGCCGGGGACGGCAGGAGCTCTCAAGCACACATCTCTATTCCTCCACGGTCCTCTCTCGATTTGATCTCACCGCTCATGTGCGCCTCGTGCCGCCTCCGCTTGGCTAGGCCTCCTTCCCATGGCTTGTCCCTGGGTTAGGCGGAGTCTGGCATTCTGGCCTCAACGTCTAGTCGCGTGGACATGGTCCTTGCCGCCAGCGTGGTTTAGATCTGGACCAGCACGACGGTGGTGGTTGGGTGCTTTGGTTCCACCGACGTACAACGATGCGGTGGAGCTCAAAGGCTCCATGGTTGTGTTGGGGTAGCCACATCGTCGCAGATGTCGGTTAGGACCGGGTTTTTTTTAGATTCAGCTTCCCCATCTCGACGTCTATGACAACAATGGATGACCACTCTGATCTGCAGTGGCGACTGATACGTTGCCAGCATATCTATAATCCATGAAGTATTCATGGTATATTTACATCAATTGTATATGTTTTCGGTGCACTTCTATATTATTTTTATGGACGAACTTATTAATTCAGTGCCAAGTGACAGTTTTTGTTTTTTTGCATGTTTTTTGTTTTACATAAAATCAATATCTAGGAAGGTCAAAATACTCCCATGATTTAATATGATTTTTTATGGAATATATGTGATTTTTGGGCGAAGGAATCAACACAAAACAATGCTCGAGGGGCCCACAAGGGCAAGTGGCGCGACCACCCCCTGGCCGAGCCATGGTGGAAAGTCTGAAGGTTGTTCGGAGTCCCAGATGGGATCCGGGACATCACGAGGAGCTCCGGAATAGTCCGGAGGTAAAGATTCATATATGAAAAGTTGTTCTCGGGTTCCGGAAAAAGTTTGAGTTTTTTCTATATTATACTGGGAAGGTTCTAGAAGGTTCCAGAGTGGGGCCAACTGCATGGGGGGCCCACATGAATGTGAGTAGTGGGGAAGGTCCCTACAAACCTGGTCTAGGCGCACCAAGATCCTCCCTTAAAAGGAATAGTATCATATCCCAAGGGGATAAGATCAGGATCCCTAAAAAGAGGGCTAGCGATCGATGGGGAAGGAACGGCGGGGTCCTTCCTCCCCCTTTGGCCAACGACCCTAGGGCCTTGGAGGGCAAGCCACCAGCCCCCTCCATGCCTATGTAAAGATGGGGAGGCGTTGGGGGCAGCCAGTATCTTTCTTTCTATAAAAATATATGGAATCCGCGATCCTATCCTATTTTTGAAGTCATTTTTGCATTCAAAATTATTTTCTTTCGCAAGAGCACTCAAACATAGATTGAAGATCTTCAGTTCTTCGGTCGGCAGCCGCGGTCAGTAGCAAGCAGCGTCCCATACTACTTTTCCTTTGAATGTTCATTCTGGAATTGAATGTCACAAACAAGACTCATACTTCAGAAGAAAAAAAACTGCTTGAATCAGGAGCTGTAATCCGCAGCACCCTTCGACCCTTGCCTATTACCTCTCCCAACTCCTCCCACGTTTCACCGGTACGCGCTTGGCGAAGCCCTGCCAGAATTCCGCTGCCACCACCACCATACCGTCGTGTTGGTCCCGATCTCATCTACCCCCTCTCTCTCGCTTGGTGGATCAAGAAGGAGAGGACGCCGCCGAGCCGCACGGTGGTAAACTCGGAGGTGCCGTCCGTTCTGCACTTGATCGGGAGTTCGTGGACGGATTGTGATTGGATCGCAAAGACGTTTGACTACATCAACCGCATTTCTTAACACTTCCGCTTAGCGATCTATAAGGGTATATAGATCCAATCTCTCCTCTCGTAGATGTGCATCTCCTAGATTGATCTTGGTGAGCATAGGAAATTTTTGTTTCCCATGCAACGTTCCCCAACAGAATATAGGCATCACGTCATGACAAGTAGACTGAAACGATTCTGCATCTATTACTATTACTTCGCACATCGACCGACTCTTGCCTACATCTAGAGTATTAAGTTCATAAAAATAGAGTAACGCCTTAAGCAAGATGAAATGATGTAGAGGGATAGATCCAATCAATATGGTAAAAATCCCATATTTTTATCCCTAATGGCAAGAATACAATATGTGCCTCGCTACCCCCTGTCACTCAGTGAGGACACCGCAAGATTGAACCCATCACAAAGCACATCTCCCATTGCAAGAAAAACCAATCTTGTTGGCCAAACCAACTCGATAGATCAGAGAGAAATACAAAGCTATCTTAATCATGCATAAAAGAGTTCAGAGAAGACTCAAATGATATTCATAGATAATCTGATCATAAATCCACAATTCATCGGATCTCAACAAATGCATCG